ACTGCTCAGCTGCTAACTGAAAGGTTAGCAGTTTGAACCCACCAGCCACTCCTTAGAAGAAAGATGTGGCAGTCTTTTTTAGTAAAGAGATGCAGCCTTGGATACCTGTGGGGGCAGTTCTACTCTGTCCCACAGGGTCACAATGAGGCAGAATTGAAGGGATGACCATGGGCTAAAATGAAAGGATTGGAGTAGACTCATTGTTTCATCCTTCCATTCATTCATAACTATTTACTGAGACTATGTGCCTTAAAGGAGCTCTGGTAGTATAGTGGTTACGAATTGGGCTGCAAACCTCAGGGTCAGCAGTTTGAAACTACCAACTGTTTCGCGGGAGAAAGATGAGGCTTTCTGCTCCATAAAGATTTACAGCCTTGGAAACCCTATACAGGGTTGCTATGAGTTGGAACCAACTCTTCGGCAGATAACAACAACAACAATGTGCCTTAAGTCCTGCGAATGCAGGGATGAACAAGTTACAGTTCTGTCTTTGAGACGTTTAAGCTTCATAAAAGGAGGCAGAAGGAGTAGTTAACACGCAGCCAGAGTATGTACAGGTAGGGAGGTGTCCAAGGAGGGAATGGCCAGGGCACCTAGGGAAAGGACTGAGAACAGCTGTTGCTGATGAAGATCTGTCCAGAACGACTACACATTTTCTTTTTGGGAAAAGGAAACTTGAATTAAAGTAAGGAAGAATCTTCTAACAGAGCTGCCAATGAAACAGGTTTCCTGGAAGGTGAAGAGCCCCGCATCTGGGAGGAACCTGGAACAGAGCCCTCAAAGGTACACACTCTTGGGGAGGTCTTTCAACTCTGGGGTCCTAAAAGCCTATGTAAAGGATTAATTTAGCATGAGGACTGATGTCACTCTTTATTCCTGCCTCATAAAAAAAAAAAAATGTGGAGATTTAATTCAAACTTACTTCTATAGAGCAGCAGCTCTGGTGTGAAACCTTCACACTGACTCTGAGTGAAACCACATACACACACAGACTCCATGAATCATGGGAATTATATATACCTGCTAACAAGCAAAGGCAGGCACATGAAATGCTCAGGTGTCATTAATTACTTTTATTCTTATCTCCAGTCACAGACCCTGGGAGAGAGGACAGGGAAGGGGGCAGTTGTGGAATCCTGGGTACCTTGAGGGAGCGGAAGTTAGAACAACAAAAGTTGTGTCTGGGAGTGTGGCAGGTAAAACCTGCCAATGATATTGTATCTCTGCCCTCAAAGTCTTTTAGGGGATGAGACACTCAGGGAGCTGTTTTGAGCAGCCCACAAAGTAAACCGTTTCAGGGAATGCAACAATCATTGGACCAAAGGAAACAGCCAGAGGCTGATGAGAAGAGAGGCTTTGGGAGGTCTGGGAAGAACTGAGGAAGAAAAAGGTGTTAGCCAAATCTTGTTCCTAACCCCTGGACCATCATTCTGCATCTGTTTCTCGACTACAGAAAAAGGACCGTGCTTTTCCTCAAATAACCACAGGGGGGCAGAAAAGTGCTTGTGTAAAATCTCATCCACTCTGGATCACAAACCGGGCACCCAGGATTGGCCCTAAGAGTTTTATGGAGGGAGAGGGACAGAGCCTTTTGGAACCAGCGTGTCTGTCTGATCCCCACTCCTGTGAGACGAAGAGCAGGGGACAGAAGAACCAAGATTCTTGGTGTTTCCCCAAATGATACAGAAGGTGCCACGCATGAGCCCAGGAATTAGTAGGGGGAGTTCAGGGACTTCCATGTGCCTTCCCAGTCTCCTCCTAACAGAAGACCACTGGACTCACATCACAGATGGTCAAATTCCTGGCTGCCTCTAGTTTTATAAAATTCAAGCTACCCCGTCCCAGGCTCAGCCCCACCCTTGACAAAAATGCGAGGGGCCAGCAGACTCCTTTCCTCTTCTCCAGCCAGTGGCACCTGCCCAGCTTCGGTTTCTCATAATCCTGCATTCCTGTCATCCCCTCCCCCCACCCTCCCACCCCGCCCTTCCTTCTCTGAGACCCATCCAGGTGTTTCCGCAGCGTCTCGCTGCCTGGACCGGAGGTGGGACTCTGGGGCCTGAACTCAGCTGCCAGCTCTGAAGGGCCCTGGATTCAGTTCTGGCCTTGCAGTTCAGGAGTCTTTCTTGAGATGACCCAGAGATTGGGGTCCTGGGCTTGTTTATTGCTGAGGGCTTGCCCCCTCCCTCAGATTTTAGAGCTCAATCTTGGATAAGCTTCTCACTCCCCAGTTACTGTAGTTTCCCAGGAAGAGGCGGACTTGGAGAAGTGGATTCTGGGAAGTTGGGAGTTGGCAGGGCAGGGAGATAGCTCCTTTAGAACAGGGACCAGAGATTAGCAGGAACAGCATCGATGGACTCAAGCGTGGCAACAGTAGTGAGGTTGGCCTAGGATCTGGCAGTGTTTCATTCTGCCGTGCATAAGGTCACTATGAGTCAGTACTCACTCAATGGTACCTAACAACAACAACAACAACAAAGGGGTGTGTGGGGATTGTCTCAGGAGTTCTGGTGTGGTGCTTTGGGTTAATGCACTGGACTGCACAGTCGGTTTAAACCTCAAGGTCAGCGGTTCAAGTTCACCAGCTGCTCCTCAAGGGTTCTGAAGGAGCTTTGGTGACACTGCAGGATAAGCACTGGGCTGATAACCATAAGGTCATCAGTTCAAACCCACCAGCTGCAATGTGGAAGAAAGATGAGGCTTTCTGCTTCAGAAAACCTAATCAGGGTTGCTGTGAGTTGAAATTAACTTAATCGTGGGCAAAGGTGGGAGAGGAGTGTAAGGGATCTCAGAGGAGAGGTGACAACTGGATAAGAAGAAGTCCGTGGAAACAAGTGCCCTGTGCTTTTCCCAAGCCTTTCCACCCTGGCCACGTTCTGCCATCTTGCTGATAGGAAAGTGGATTCATAGATCATGAGAAACATTTGCACTGCTGCCATCTAGAACAGGAATTAGAAACCGCAAGTCCTGCATCCTAGCATATTTCTGGAGTCGTGGTGTGGTGCTGTAGGATATGCATTGGATTATTAACCAAAAGGTTGGCGGTGAGAAACCAGAAGTCCTGTCTCCTAACCTATGCCTAGAATCCTGGTGTGGTGCTGGATCAAGCACTGGACCAAAAGGTCGGCTTGAATGGCAAGGTTGGTGATTTAAATCCACCAGCCGCTCTTCAGAAACCTTATACAGGGTCTCTGTGAGTTGGAACCGACTCAGTGTCACTTAACAAATGTTCAGAGGGTGAAAACATCAGAGCCAAAACCTGGGGAGGGGAAGATGGGAAGCTAGGGGTGGTACTGGGGACAACTTCTCAGAGACAGCAGGATGAATCCCCACTACCCACCTCTCTTGACTCCCATGTCCAGCCCCATCTCCTCTGGGGTCAAGAGCCAGACTTTTGAGTTGGGCAGATGTGTGTCTGAGTATCAGATGATTAGCTGGGATTAACCTTGGACTCATTACCAAACCTGAGTTTTCTCCAGTCCCTGGGGATATGCAGAACACTGGCTTTCAGGATTGCTCTAAGGGGTTAATTTAGAGCAGCCCACCATGCTGACGATTGCCTTGATCTCACACCCCTCACCCCACCACCTGTTCTATTTTCCTTCTCTTGCCAATACCCAAAATGGAACAAAACTTCAACTGCTTCGGCAATATTTCTTGAAAGTGATAGGATGGGTAGGGAGGGGTGGGGCAGGGAACAGACGGATAACATACCGAGTCACCCTCCCCAGAGGCAAGCAGAGCCCCCAGCACAGGGAGGAAGAAGGAAAGCCCCAAGGGAGAGGATGAGGAAGGGTCCTAATACCCCTTGAAACTTCCCAGTCTCCACCCAGTAACTTTCCACTGGCTGAGAGCTGATTGCACGTGCTGACTGCACGCTGCCCTGAGGCATGGCCCCTTGGTCCCCTCCTCATAGGCACCCAGTGGAGGGCTGAGTGGCTGACGTACACCCTGCCTGAGATCCCAGCCACCTGGAGCCTGATAAGGAGCCCAGGCCTCATCACATGGGACCCGCTGGAGGGATTGGCCCTGGCTGTTAACATCAGCTGGTCAGCTTCCAAGCTGGGCGATGAGAAGATAAGAAGGTAAGGAGACTTAGGGACTCTGGGCTAAGAGACCAGGAAAACTGGGGGCAGGGATGTGGGTGCTGCCAACTGAGGCCTCAGAAGGCCTGGCAGGGAAGAAGCCAGCAAATGGCAGCAGGTGGGGGAGGGTTCAGGAAACAAGATATGCAGTAAGGGCCAGGCACACTCTTGGGAAAGACTGTGGGCAGGTAGGATGCCCTCCAGGTGGGGTGCCCCAGCATTTTGTCCCGGGAACAGTCAGCCCTCAAAGGACCAAGCACACACTCAGTCTCAGGCCTGTTGAGCAGCCTGAGGGTCAAGATAAGAAGGTAAAGGGATGTGGGTCTCAGTACCAGGTGGTCACAGGTGGATTGGCTCCAAGGCAGAGTCCAGGCCTCCCTGTTGGTTGGCCTACTCACACCGCCCTTGGAGTCCCAGGGCAGGCCCTCACTTAGAAAAGAAGTAGGGTCTACTGTTGTTCCTACCTCCTGTCTCAACAGTGCTGTGTCTCATCAGGGAGGTTAAACCAAGGCAACCACATACCTTCCACAGAACACCCCACCCCTCTTCTGCAAGCTGTGCCCCTCTTCATTACAAGTGTTGATGTCTGACGTAGTAGGGGAAAAGGAAGCAGGAGGGCTAGACACAGGACAGCTTGCCTCAAGTTCACACACGTGTGGGAGCCGGAGGAGGAATCTTGGTGAGGGTGGAGGTCTCAGTCAGGCTCCTGGGGTCTGCAATTCCACTGGGCTCCTCCCATTAACCCTCGGGTCCTCAACAGTCCCAGACTGGGAGATATAATTACAGGGGGTTGGGGTTGGGGCTGATGTGACCTGGGCTCTTCAGAACCCCCATATGACGGTGATGGCACATGTACAAGCTGAAGGGTGAGGGTGAGGGCTAGGCCGCAGGCAGCAAGCTCGGGCTGGTGGGACTGGTGCTAGTTTTCTATTTGGGTTTATATGAGCACAGGGAAGGTCAGAGAACTAGGCAGAAGCAAAGATGGGGAGGGCTCCTCAATCCCTGTTGGTACCAAATATCTGCAGGAAGAAGGTGAAGATGTAGATGATGTCTAGGTAAATGTTGAGGGCTCCAAAAATATACTCCTCAGGACTCAGCGAGTGGCGGCGATTACCCATCAGCAACTGGGTGTCAAATGCTAGGAACTGGGGAAGGGAGAGAGAGAGAAGAGGAGTCAGAGGGCTAGTGACTAGGTCCAACTGCCCACCTAGTTCCACCCCAATTTGGTGACCACCTTTTGCCAGGCTGCTCAGTGATCCTCCTCAGTGATAGCCGGAATCTGGAAGTTTCCCAACACTTCCCTTCCCTAATTCAACCCCGCACCTATTTACTGAGCACCTACTATGTTCCAGGCATGTTGATACAGCAGTGAGCAAGACAGAGAGATCCCTGCCCTCATAGAACTTACAATCTAGTCAAGGAAGTAATTGTGAGTATGCCATAAGGGGCTGATAACAAAGAACCTGGCCTATGTCAGTTAGGAAAGGCTTCCTGGAGAAAGGGAACCATTAAGCTGAGGCTTAGTCATCTTTTCCTGGTTTTCTAGGATAAATGAGTGCTTCAAGCAATACCAAGCATGGGCTGAGCATTTCTTACGTGTCACTGGTTGAGAAGCTTTGCCTGCACTCGTCCATTTAGTTATAGTAACATCCCTTGCAAGTACAGAATCTGTTATTCTAAAGAAAACGGAGGCCCAGAAATACTGAGTAACATGTCCAAAGTTGCACAGCTAGGAAATGGCAAAGGCCAGATTTGAACCTGGTAGCATAGTGGTTACGAATCGGGCTGCTAACTTCAGGATCAGCAGTTGGAAACTACCAGCTGCTCTGTGGGAGAAAGATGAGGCTTTCTGCTCCCGTAAAGATTTACAGCCTCGGAAACCCTGCTATGGGTCGGAACTGACTCGACAGCACTTTACAACAAGACTGGCTCCAGAGTTCCCACATGTTACCATTTTGCTCTGCTACACATGGGCAGTACGGCCAACACACAGGATTAATGGGTTCCCTCTCATTTCTGGTCTAATGGACTATGAACACCTAGTTTCTTAGAGGTGGTTCTTCTCTATCACCCTACCAGTCCTTGCCACTGTCCACATTAACTCCTACCCCTCCCACACAGTTTTCCTCTAAGATCTAAACCTGGGGAACAGAGAGCCCTTGAAGAAACATTGACACCAACAGGCATAGTACACTTTTCTGGGGATAGAAGCCAAGAGTTCACAGTGTCTCAAAAGGCTATGAACCATGGGTCCACAAAGGATTGTTTTTGTTATTATGTGCCATGGAGTCGGTTCCAACTCATAGAGACCCCATACAGGGTCTCTGAGGCTATAAATCTTTACGGGAGCAGAAAGCCTCATCTTTCTTCTGCGGAACAGTTGGTAGTTTTGAACGGCTGACCCTGTAGTTTGCAGCCCAATTCGTAACCACTACGCTACCCAGAGCTCCTTTCACACAGGATTGTTGTTGTCGTTGTTGTTGTTAAGTGCCGTCGAGTCGGTTCCGACCCATAGCGACCGAGTGTGTAAATCTTTACGGGAGTAGAAAGCCTCATCTTTCTCCCGCGGAGTGGCTGGTAGTTTTGAACCGCTGACCTTAGGGTTCGCAGCCCGATTCGTAACCACTGTGCTACCAGAGCTCCTTTCACACAGGATTGGAATTCTTTAAATTAATCCACAGTCTTGTGAACGGGATTGTGCCTAGCTCTTCCGTCACTTGTGTGTGGAAGACCTGTACTTATCCCATCCAACTCTTTGGATCCTCTGAAACTTATTCATTATACAATAAATATACAGAACCCGTGTGCCAGGTTCTTGCAGAGAGCAGAGGAGACAACAAAGAACACACAGCAGGGCTGATTGTTATTTAGGGCTGTCGAGTTGGTTCCGACTCATAGCAACCCTGTGTAGGGTTTCCAAGGAGTGGCTGGTGGGTTTGAACTGACGATCTTGCAGTTAGCAGTTCAGAGCTTATCTTACAGCGCCACACCGGGACTCAAAAAGTGGAGCTTGCTGCTGTTGTGTGTTGTGGGGTGGGTTCTGACTCATAGCAATTCTTATATGGTTTCTAGGAACTCTGTATAGGGTATCTAGGGCTGTAAATCTTACCTTCTGAATAATAGCTCAACATGTGACCTTCTACACTATCAGGGCTCCTTAAAGTGAGCTTAGTGGGGAACATGAAAAAAAACAACCAAACCTATTGTCATAGAGTATGGAGTTGGTTGCATCTCCTAGCAATACTATGAAGCCTAGTGTGATGTGGTAAGATAAGCACTGGACTGATAGCCACAAGCTCGGCAGTTCAAACCCACTAGCTACTCTTGGGAACCCTATTCGGGGTTGCTGTGAGTCAGAACTAGCTGGATGGTATACAACAACAACAACAACAGCAACAGCGATCCTACAGGACAGAATGAAATCACCCCCTAGGGTTTCCAAGGCTGTCGTCATGGAAGCAGACTGCCACATCTTTCTCCCACGAAGCACATGGCAGCTGTCATCCGATGACTTTCCAGTTAGCAGTCCAGCACTTAACCATTGTGCCACCAGATTGGGGGATACTTACAGATAATTATTGTAAAACTAGGTAAATGCATGAATAGTGATTTAATAAGAAGGGAGTTACTGTTTGTTCAGGAGGAAGGTGCCCAGGGGAGGACTTGAAGGAGTGTGAGTTTGGTAGACTGCCTAGTAAAGTCTTGGTGTGGCAGGAGAAATGTGGGTGGGTGGGTGGTGGGTTGGAGGAAGAGAGAGAGAGGCTGGAGCCTGACCATGAGGCTTGTACTTCACCCCACAAGCTGTAGGCATGCGGTGCTCCCGTTTCTTCTCCTGAGACACTAACTCCTGGACTCCTTGGGGTTGCTTTGGATTTAGCCCCACGGAAACCTGGGAGAATCCCTGCCTCAGCGCCAACTCCCCCACAACACAGGGTGCCAGAGACTCCAATACGTGGGACTTCAAGACATGTCACCATATAAGGTGTGGTGTTGGTTGTTGTTGTTGGTGGTTGTGTGCCATCAAGTTAGTTCCACTTCATAGTGACCCTGTATCGGGTGTTCCAAGGCTATAAATCTTTACAGGAGCAGAAAGCCTCATCTTTCTCCTGTGGAGCAACTGGTAGATTCATACTGACCTTGCAGTTAGCAGCCCAGCTTTTAATCTACTACGCTATCAGGGTTCCTTTTGATGGGGTTAGGGGACAATTATGAATATGGACTTGAAATCGAATTGGATTCCGGTGAGGTCCTCTGCTCACTAGCGTATGACCCTTGGCAAGAAATGTAATGTCTCTGAGCCTGTGAGTTCATATCTCTAAAAGGGAGATGACAGTGTCTGCCTCAATCACGAGGTTGTTTTGAAAGTGAGATAGCGCCTGCAAAGCGCCTGGCACGGCGCCTGACATGGCAAGCCCTTAATGAATGGTGGCTATTAATGTGGTTTTATTGTTATCATCTGCAGAAGAGAGGTGCCCTCGAGGGAGCTGCATCCACTGCTGATGGGACTCACCAGGGAGGTAGCAGTGTTACTAGGGGAAGCTGCGTGGCCCTAGCAGGAGGATCTGGGTCTGAGGGAAAGCAGAAAATGGAGCCACCGTCAGGCCTGGGGGCCATGGACAGGGCGCCAGACTCTCTGAGCTCAGTCACATTGAGGGGAGGGTGTGCAAACACACAGGACTCAAGTTGTAAAGCCTGAGTTAGAATTCTGGCCCCATGGCTCACCAGTGTCCTCCTCTGCAAAATGGGCTGGTGATAATACCCACTCATGGAGCCTAGGGGGTGGGTTTGAGGATTAATTATGACAGTGGATAGGGCTTCAACAATGTTTACTCCTTAGTAATGTTTCACTTTATTCTATTCTGCCCTGTTTGGATTTGGTTTCCCAAGTAAATTTTCCTTCTGTAGTGAGGAGGAACAAGCAGAGCGGTCTACTCAAAGCTACAAGCTGCTTAGCGGTCACAGCTGCCAACATAAGTTAATAAATTGCCGATCTAGCTTATCAATCAGTAGCTTGCTTGGTTGATTTCCCAGAGCCTCGTCACCCCTGGGTGAGCTAATGAAATGGAATCTCTCAACCTCAAAGGTTTGAACCTGACCAAGCCTGGAGGTGGCCTTTCCAAGGAGCACCCACCCAGGAGGTTGGTTTTTCTAGAGCAGCCAGATGGTTTTTCTCTTGGAGAGAAATCATTCTGCTCTTACCTGTGGCCTATTACCATGGATGCTTATCTATGTGGGATGGCCTGCCCCAAATTTCAACCCCATCACCCATACCATGCATCATTGCAACCTGTGAGTCAACAGAAGACTTTTCATTCATTTATCCCCAACAAAACTTGGTTATGTGCTGTAGAGTCAGTTCCGACTCATTGCAAACCTGCATAGGGTTCTCCAGGCTGTGAATCTTTACTGGAGCAGAAAGTCTCATCTTTTTCTCCCAAAGAACCACTGGTAGTTTCGCACTGCTGACCTTGAGGCTAGCAGCCTGATTCATAACCACTATGCTACAAGCACTATTATGTTCTGGGGAATTTGCCCTGACAGTTGAATGAGGGCAAAAGGCATTGTTATGGGCATGCATTCAAGGGGACAGTAACCTGCTGCTAATCTCATTGGGTGAAGGTAAGTGTTGTTAACTCACATCTTGGTTGAGAGCAGACATCTTGGTTATGTTGTTGTTGTTGTTATTTGCCGTGGAGTTGGTTCCAACTCATAGTGACCCTGTACAGGGTTTCAGAGGCTGTAAATCTTTATGGGAGCAGAAAGCCTCATCTTTCTCCAGTGGAACAGCTAGTAGTTTCAAACTGCTGACCATGAGATTATTAATCTGATTCATAACCACTATGCTTAGTTAGCAGCTTATCTATCCATTAAAGACCTTAATTAACGTCTCCTGTGGCATGAGACCAGAACCACATGGTGCCTGGATATATATCACTACTGAACGTTTTGATCAAAGATTCTATGGAAAAATTCTAATCAAAAAGAGGAAAATGCAGAGCAGGATTTCAAATATTAATGGATTCCAGACTTTCTGGGGCCCTGGAGGCTGGATAAACCCCCAAAACTATTGTCCTAAGATCATCTTTAAAACTTAAACCAAAACCATCTCCTGAATTTCTTAAAAAGCTCATGAGCAGCCTATTGG